TTGTACACCAGCCTTCAAGGTAAATACTAGTAAAAGCAGGCCGATTTATACGGCCTTACTCTCGTGTAAATCGGGTCAGAAGCTTTTCTAAATGACGTTCTGTAATGACCCCAATTACCAATAACCCTAAAGTAAACAGAAATATCCCAACAAAGCATCTGTACATGTGTCTCACCAATTAAAGGGCTAATTCAACCCGAAGAAAGAGCTCCCTAGGGGGTTTAGTATTCTTGGTCTCCAAGTGACCATACAGTGTATACTGTGGTAATATTGCCAATAGTATTTCCGCGTATATTGCTCTGCGTGTGAGGGAGAATGCAGACAATGCAACAAAATAAAATAATAAAAAATACCTTTCTCTTGTTATCTGAAACCAGTATTGAGATATTAATATTTGAGTTGGCCATGGGTCCGCCATAGATGGGCCATCCACGACATTAACGTTCAGACACAGTAGAATTAATCTCCAAGCAGATCCCTCTCTGTGGCAAAAAGACAGTATCAAATTGGCCAGGCAGTATCCATTAGCCAGAGAAGCTCCGCAGCCACCGACGGGTGGGGATCAGGACAAAAAAACGGCCATATGTAAAAAGGTAACGATCATTCCCCCACAACCTCTGCTTGGAGAGTACAGTAGAATCACTAGTTGTCCTTCTTACCTCAAAATATATCGCCTCTCGTTCGCCTTCAGCTTGTAAAAATCCCGTATATTCGAGAAGTTCTAACCACCAAGACGTCTCCCGATTTTCTTCAGTACAATAAGGCGTTCACAGGAAACCTTCGAGCTTGAATAATCTCAAAGAAATGTGTTTCAAGCCTGGCAGGGCACCAAAACATGGGATTGGCGTTCTTGAATCAGTGCCGGCTGACTACGGAAGTTAATAATGAGACCGACTTGGCAACAGTGTAACGCGTCTAGTCAAGTGAGTGACCTACGTGGTACAATATCACAGCTGCAGTGCCATATGGACAGCATTTCCTGCTCGGAACTATTACAGAACTGAAAGTATTTAAACCTAGCTGGACTGTCAACACACTTAAAACAGGAAACCTTCCGTGAGGCAATCAGATAAGACCAGGAACCAAATTAAGGCGCCAATAGTAAGTCCTACCTATAATCACATGATACGTGCAAGAATGTCGCTTGCACTACAAGCAATTACCGCAAGGTGGCGTTTTGGCATCCCCTCTCTTTCTCGGAGATACACACACTGACACAGCCCTGAAGCTGTGTTATATAATAGGGGTTCTCTGGTTTTTTTGTTTGGAAAGCCCAGGAGTCGAAATTGGAATCTATTTTCAAATGTGCACGTAGAGAACGCTGTAAGGGTTACTTCAGAACTGCATCTTGGGTAATCCAAATATCATCCAAAATACTCGGTATCCAAAATGGACAGCCGCACCTCACCAATACAAGAAACAGCAAACCCCTATCACAGCCTCCTGGCAGACTGCCACAGGTTTCAAAAGGAAAAGTTGTGGTCTCCAATTAGACACAGGAAGTTCAGCTTTAGACAAAGCCTTGGGAAGATTATTGGATGTTCTGTTTATGTTTTTCCTGATGAGACTTCCGAGATCCGTTTTCTCTTGTAACATCCGTCGAGTCTTTGTTGCTGACTCATGGCTGGCACGTTCGAACACTGCATGCTACTAGTGTTACGTTATTAGGCCACACCAAGTAAATTTTATGGATGACGTCCGCGCGCGCATTGATTTTGGCCTGTTCCTGGAAAAAAAACAAGAAATTCCGCTTCCTGTAACTATGACCAAAGAGTCACGACAGTGCCGCAAATCGTTAGGTTGATGTGAAACCCGTAACGTGAAATGGGTAAAGAGCACATGCTTTGTTTCTGCAGGCCTGCAAAAAATGTGATGAAAGAAACAGGACAGTACGATAACTGCTATTCCACCTGATTCATTGCTTTTTTGATGATGAATAACTTCTTGCTTGTTACACTGTGTCACCTCATTCAATTTGTGTCCTAACATTTGTCGTCTCTTAGTTTATTTCTAATCTAGGCATCTTGTTTTTTAGGGCCCTTCTTGTTTTTTTTTGCCCTCTCGCATTAGATTTAGGGTCTCCAAAGGACGTCATCCATAAAATTTACTTGGTGTGGCCTATGCTCATATTTTGGATCCAAGTACATGTGCATCCAAGTACATAATTTTGCAGATTAAAATTATGGTTATAAATACTTATACTAGTTCTAGAGATTGTATACAACAATTATATTATAGTGTGAATATATTTTAGTATTCTTAGAAAAATTATGCAAGCCATTCATAACATTATATGATCAATAATAATTTCTGAGGTAAGAACT